GCCCATCCAAAAGGAAGAAAAACGCTCATGAAGAAAGTGTACAGTAGAAGCACTGACCAGATACAAGATGCAAAGACAGACGAACAGATATGCACACAAACACAAAGATGGAAGAACACAGCTACACACAAACACAAAGCGACGCCAGATGGCTCACTTGCTCATCCGCCCCACCAGACAGCTCTCTCGCTAGCTGCTCATCAAGAGCCTCTTGAGATGCCGCTGCTGCTGGATTGGCAACGTCGGGATCCATCTGTAAAGACCCTTCTAAAGTTCCCGTTTGGCCACAGCCCGCAGCAGCAGCTGCAGGATCTGGTGCTCTGCCTTGCAGCAGCTGAAACAGAGCATGCAAAACCCGCTGCAACGGGAAGGTCCCCAAGTGCTCATCAGTCGCGAAGGACAGCCACTGCTGCAGCTCGGTCAAGCAAGCCAACTGAAACGCACACAGGCACAGTCTGACTGGCGTGGCTCGTACTTCTGGTGCAACTTCTAGAGGCAATGCACCTTCGGTCCATGTTGCACATGTGCAGAGAAGACACAGGAGTGCACTGGAACGCTGCTGACGCGTGTATGCTTACGGCTTCTGCTGCTGCCTTTGCTGTTCTCAAAATTGCTGCTGCTGCTTCAAATGAACAGAACGTACCTGCTGGGCTTCACTGGGGTGCGAAAGCAGCTGCAGCATTTGCTGCCACTGCCTTTCATCGCCGTCCTGACCATGCGACAGCATTTTCGTTGCTGCCACTGCAGCTGCTGCCGCAGCTGCCGCTGCTGCTGCTGCAGCGAGCGTGTAGACAGCCAGGCAAGCTCAAGAGGCAATCAATCTCCCACACTGTTGCTGAGACTGCTGCACTTGATGATAGGATCGGTGCTGCTGCTCCTGCGGTTGCTGCAGTTGTCCCCACAGGGAGCAGCCAAGCAGACCGCAGCTCCGCTGATGCTGCTCCTGCTGCTGCAGAGTTGCTTTCCTGCTTGGCGCAGACTCAGATGACACTGCAGAGCCTACTGCAGCTGCTGAGCATGTAGCAGCTGCTACTGCAGCAGCTGCCTACTCGGGTTTTGTTGCCACGTTGACTGTTCCCCCCAAGGGTAGAGCCTACAGCAGCAGCAGCAGCTGCTGCTGCTGTTTCTGCGGCTGCAACGCGGTCTCTAGTGAAACAGAGGCCTTTGAAATAAATGGTCTACGCTGAGCAGCTGCAGTGGCTGCCAACAGCACGGTTGCTGCTGCGAGGCGGCTATGCAGCAGCGGCAGCAGCAGCGTCTTCTGAGGAAGCTGCTACTGTCAACGAAGTGTAAGTACACTTAAGATGCGAGTGCTACCCATTCAAAAGTGGTGCTGTTGTGCCAAAGGAGCACCAACAGCGGGAAAGAAAACAAAGCAGCGATGCGCGATTGCACGACTGCTGCGGCTGTTGCAGCAACAGCAGCCGTACCTGCAGTTGCAGCTGCTGAGTACCACGCTCCAGTTTCTCTAAAGGCATCGCTTGCTGCCTCGTTTGTTTTACTCAGTTGTTGTTGCTGCTGGTAAGAAGGTGGAGATGGGACGGAAGAGAGTGTGCTTTGAGTGTAAACAAAGGCGGCAACAACAGCAGCTGCAGCAATCTCAAGACGAGCAGCCTGTCTTTACTGAGTTGTTTATGCAGTTTCTGTGGGCGGGCACAGGTAATTCAAGGCACAGAGGAGGACAAAAAGATATTTTTACTGTGGTTTCACGAAATATGCACCGAAACCTGGCGCCGTTCACGCTCCCTGAACCTCGCTCACCTGTTACGTTTGATATGTTTGTTAGCGCAGCTGCAAGGGCCTTCTAGGTTTTATTCGTATTTCAGCTCTCTGTCATACTAAGTTCAATACAGGCTGCTTTAAGCTCCATAGGAAGAGGACTGTTTCAGCCACTGACTACTTACCAGCAGGCGCAATACGTAGAGCAACAACTAAGGAACGATCTCCCCTGCAGCGGCGGTACTTACGGGAGCATCAGTAAGTGCTGCAGTAGAAGTATCGTCGTCTACTCCATTAGCGCTTGTTGCGTCATTAAGATAGCCATTTTAGACTAGTCGAAGGATTGGAAAGCTGTTGTGAAAGGGAGCAGCAAAATCGCCGGAAAGCACACCATTAATGGCGACACCATGCTACTACAAAGCATACTCGGAATATATCAGGTCACTGTTAGTCATCTCAGACAGTATGAGCCCCTGCGTCGTGCGGAGAAGCGTAGAGCTTCAAGTGCCCAGGAGACATACGTGGTGCGGATGTAGGCGCATTACAACGCTTACTGTCCTATAAACACCCTTAAGCCATACAATAGATCTGTCTAATGGACAGACCTATTGTATGGCTTAAGAGTATTTATAGGACAGTACAGGAACCAGGCAAGCACTAATAGAGTCGCTAAACCCTTGCAAGGCTCAAGCGATCTTCATTTGGCCCTACAACAATGTTAAGGGCATTGACAGCCAGAACTGTAACAGTGAACAAGCCCTCAGACTGGGTGAAATTAAAAGTTGTTGGTAGGTCGTTCTGGTTGTTAAGGCTACTGTAACCGGGCAATATCTCACATACATTGGCCCAAGTTTACCAAGGAGCAGATAGGACCTCGTGCGGTATTCTGAGAGTCTTCCCAGCAAGGTAAGGCTGATACCCACAATTGAAGTCACTCTGTGTAGTGCTTCAGGGAGAGACGTACAAATGGCGTCCAGCGTCTGCACAAATAGGCGCCATAAGCGTTTAGGTCGGCTGGTACTGATGCCGAAGGACGAGGCGGAGCCTCAAAACCCCTTTTAGCACGCTCGCTGATGTTCCGTTCCTTTCTTTGCGCTGTTCAGTATCCCAGACATCCCGAATATACGGGCTGTGCCAGCGAGACTTGACTAGCCTCTCTTTACCCTTCCGGACGGCTCACCGAGCATCCCCGTGCGTAGATCGTCGTACACTGTTACCTTAGCACCACACACGCTACCAAACATCTGTCTTGTTTCGTTAAATGCCAAAACAGAGTTGATGCTATTTTTGTCCATTTCAGAACCTGGCCTTCCAAGCTCCCCCCAGTACGGTCTCCAGTGCTGGAGGCCGTTTTGGCCTGTTAAGTGTTTCAGACTAGTTGTGAAGTTACCAGCCTAATCTTGCGCAGCGTGACTTGATAGTATCATATACACTCTAATGGCTAGAAAAGCGCCGTCATAAGCGAACAGCCTTGAGGGGCTGGGGTTCTATCCACCCAGTGGCCTCAAAGCTAGTGGCAGCAATGCACAGTTAAAGAAGCCTTGAGAGGCTCAAAATACGTCTAATTCATAGACAGACTCTGTCGAGGGAAACTTTCAGATAAATTGGTCCGTGGTGTAGTTGTTTATGTGACCAAACTAGCTAAGGTGTAGGCGCTTTGACGCTTCCCCCGAGCGCTGGGTATCGACCGGCGTCGCTACCATCCAGCCAGATTCATCAGATCCCGCCAAGCGCTCGCGACTACTATGTGTGTAGAACGGAGCTCAACCAGTATTCATTGTGTGCACCAAATGTGACTTAAGTCTTTCTTGAGGGCAAGAAATCCTAACACGAATGCCCAGGGCGGAGTCGAAGTGCTGAGGTCCTCCGCTTTCTCTTCCCAGGGCGCCTGTGACTCGGCCCTTGTTGCCTATGATTTTTCGCGATGTTCCTTACAAAGATCGTGGTATTAAGGGCCTCATGGGGCTGTGCAGTGTAGCATCTGTGTCACAGAAAGCGCAAGTACTCCCAACTGCAGCATCCTGAGTAACTTCAGAAGCAACTGCACTGGCAGTATTAACACCAAAAGCCCCATCGGCACGCCGACTCCCTAAGAAGCGCAACCCCAGACGTTCCGCACACCTACGACTCAACTGCCCCCACATATCCAGCAAGACCTCTTGACACACATGGGGCAGGTAAAGCGGCAAATGAAAAGGTCCGAAGTGAGAGCAGCAAAACGAAGTAGCCAAAGTTCCACGCACTGCGCTCGCCCCCCCTAACTCCAGCAAAGTTGAGGAAGTAAACGAACGCACAAAGTAAAACCAACACGAAAACAGGTCCCCGCCGTTCCACTGTACCAAGCAGGAGCTGATGCTGTTGGTGCCCTGCTCACTATTGGAGATGCGGATGCGACAGCGACTTAAGTCGCCTTTTTTCAGCAGTTTCGGCAGCTGTTGCAGCGTCGGCTGTCACTACCGAGCGCCTCACGCTAATGGAAAAACGCTGCAACGGATGCGTCACCTCTCATCTGCGCCTGTCTTGGGCTTGCAGAGAAGGGAAGGAGTGAGGCAGGCCAAGCGCCACAGCCGCTAGTACACTTCCAGACACGTAAACAAACACAAACTAGCTGCGCACCGGAAATGTGATAAGAAGAGGTTCAACACTTCCTGCGGAATGCACGTAAACCAGGATTCCACGGGGCCGTGAACGACCAAGGGCTGGTGGAGGAAGAGTAGTCGGCTGTGCACTCCCGCACCTTCAACGCTCCAGCAGCAGCGCTACAGGCTTAGCCCCAGAAACTCAACAGCTTCCTGTAGGCGGGCCTTCAGCGCCTGGGCATGGGGACGCCCTCCGGAAAAAAAAACCAGATTGCGAAAAACCATAGGCAACGCCGCAGCACAACTGCTCAGTCGTGATGCGGCGGCACGAGCAGCCAAGCACCCGCTGCTGCTATTGCTACGGGCTGGTGCAGCCACAGGCAACGATTTAGTAGCAAGTTGCTCGGAGAGCCTCGCATGCAAGATATAAAAGAAACCGACAGAACTGGTACAAAGTAACAGATAAGGACCATCTCTGACTGAAGTGCTCCTGAAGGCTTACACAATCCATTGCCTGCCTTGCATTCCTCTGAGGCACTGACAGTCAGAAATGACTGAGATATGCGCTGTTCACACCCGGCAGCAGGCCTGAGCTTCGGCACGGGGCGTGTGTACGACTGTTGTACGTACAGCTGAACCTTCATTAGTTTCCTGCAAGCATTTCCAAGCCACAGTATATGCCTTTCATGCAAAGGTCGTACACTAAACTTCATCTTGAGCGAAAATCCGGTACATGTCAGTCACCACCAAACTTCCTGCTCCCCTCTGTTGTACTTCCTCCGCCTTCTGTTGCCCCTGCACGTGCTGCTGCTGCTGTGACTGCTGTTTCCGCTGTTTGTCGCAGCCCTCTTTCCCCGCACAGTAAGCTTTCAGGCTCTCCTCCTTGCCAGCTGAGGATGTGCATATGGCGCAGCGGAGGTCCTTCTCTCCCACTGCCTGGGGCCACAGTTGCACCGCAACCAGAAAAGGCAAACAAGGGAAAATGGCTCTGCACGCCACTACGTAGACGAAAATTGCCCGCAAATGCAGGTTTGACGTTGACAAAGCCAGCGCTCTTGAGGAATTGATTATCTGAACCTTCGCTGTAATTGCAAACAGCAAAAGTGGGGCAAAGGCGAAGCTTACCGAGTGCTGTCGGTCCACTGTTATCCAGGGCACGCGGTCGTGCTCAGGAGTTTGCTCGGCCATGAGGTGTTGCAACCTTTCTCCCTACACGCAGGGCTCAATGTAACGGTAACGTGACTAAACGGATATCCAAAATGAAGCTACCAAGCAAGGCCTTCATGCGTGTAAGATCGAGCTTGGCAGAAACAGTTCATGACACTAGCATTGCATTGAAAGTTCACAGCTTCGAAGTAAGGCTGAGATGGGGCTGCACGATTCTCACAGGGACTTTGGCGGCAAATTAGGCATGCTCTTCTCGCCATGACTTGGTATTAAGGTCCGCTACTGAGCCTCATGATACTGGCTTTGAAGTGCAACTTAGAATTGAAGTATACGGCTAGCAGTTAAAGCTTACTGCTGGGGACAGGCTGCAGACAAGAATTTCAAAGATTAGCATATTTGCGCGTGTACTTGGAAGGTCAACTTTACACATGACCCAAGAATTGCGGCCCCCTGTTGCCGCTGCTGCAGCCGCAGCAGTTACTTCTGCAGAGGACACTGCAGCGTCGTTGGCTGCCTTTGCTGCTGCCATTGCCGCAGCTGCAGCTTCTCTGGCTGCAGGCCCCACGTCGCCGTGCCTCTCCGCCTCAGCTGCTGCTTTTGCTGCAGCAAGAGCTCGACGTGCCTCAGCAATGGCCAGCTGGCTGGCTGCGATAGCCTTAGTAATGTGCGCCTCAGCCTTGATCAGGCTAGCCGCATCCAGCTGACTCTTGTTTACGCAGTCGAGCCACGGGGCCCACCTACACACAGTGTACGTACACGGAAACCTGAGCTCTGGGCGAAAGCTATGAAGGACAGTGAAGAGCAACCTTTTCGTAAAGGCGAGTATAGAAGAGATACTTGGAAGTTGTTAGATGCCCCTCCATCAAACTCAGATTGTGGAAATTACAAGGACTCCAGAATCAAAAGTGCCGAGAGGCTGGCATTCTTCCATTATTGATTGTGATCGTGTCAAGATGCTCAGCGAAACTCACACGTCGATTTCAGCCTCCTTCATAAGCGCCAGACCGCAGGCCTCCACTCTGTTTAAGTAGCATTCCTCAGGTCCGTGCTGTGGGAAAGGGCAAACAACGCAGAGAACAGAGGAGAGGCTTAATGGCTACCAACCGTCTGCGGAGCTGGAGGCTTAATGGCTACCAACCGTCTGCGGAGCTGCCACATCTTAGAACGTCAGCTGCTCCCGGAAGCCTAGGCGTGTAAACAAGTCGAATCCTACCTGACATTCGTATTGGTAATGCCCTGTTTCTGTCAGTCTCTCCTTCGTGTTGCCGTAGGGGACTGGGTGTATGGCTACCTTGGCAAGTTGCAGCTCCTTCGCATGCTGCGCTGCATCCTGCAGTTGCTCAGTAATGAACAGCTGGCTCGCTGGGCACCTCTGCAGCAAACAATCGAACGAATCCCTCATAATTCTGTGGACCTTGAATTGACAGAAGTGGGCCCGAGACGCATACCATGATCGTGACCGCTGGTGCACGCTAGAGGCGGCAGGTGCAAGGAGGGAAAGGGTAGCTTTCGGCGCAGAAAATTTGAGTTCTGATTCATCCGTTAGCTCACGCTTTCATAATAAATGCCAATATCCACGCCGAATGCTGGGTGTAAAGCCGACAACAGGCCCAACACGAGTTTCGCTCCGAGCCTTCCCATCGTGAAGAAGGAAGAAACGAACAGGAACCGACAATAAAGGCCAAAATAAGGTCTATTGTGAGCTTTCTGCGTGTGTTCGTTCCAACTCCTTGCAAGGAGAAAATACACTTTGTGGTTACCCGTCGACAATTGCGGATGTAAGCAACATGAACAGAATGAGCATGGTGGAGCGCATGCCTGTTCAACGTACAGTTCAGAGGGCTCCTCTCTATCAGCAGGTGTTGATGGGATATAGTCCAATATTGGCTTAATGCTGTGAGTGAATCATTATCCACTGAGCTGATGAAACACGAAAACAGAACGACGGGTTGCTTTCTACGCTGGGCTGTCTCTGTGGCTCCGTTCTGGTGTAAACGTCAGTCTCTAGCGCTCTTCTCGTCTGAATACTGCGTCTTTCTCGCTTTCTTCCTCCTTGACTTTCATTACGATATCCTACATCACTGCTTTTCATAGCAGCTTCAATGAGGCACGAATCGCAGGAAGTACGAACCGCGTTTGGCGGACGGCGGCTCGCTCGTTCCCTGGCTTCCCTTTTCTTCGCAGTAGTCTTTTTATGCTGCACTTGTGCAGATTCTACTATTGGCGCTGCTCAGGGTCCTTCAAACCTCGCAGAAAAAGGCCATTACAGCCCCTTAGGGGCTCCCACAGATTACAGTGCGTACCAGCTGGGCGACGGCACGCTCACTTACCCGACGGGCGAATACGATGAAGACTTTGTCACACTTCCCGAGCGTCCACATGATCCTGTACATAGGGCTCCCCGGCAGGAGCAGGTGAAGGTGGAGCGCCACGTAGTCTTTGTGGCCGAGGGACGACCCCAAGTGCCTGTAGTGAAGGGGCGTGGATTTTTCATATTGGGCTTGATCATGCTCGCGATGTGCATCTCCGCGATTCACAGCGATCCTCGTGGCAGGAATGCAGGCTTTTTGGAGGGGGTTTCGATGAACGCGCGAAACTTAGTGGCCTTCAGGGATCTCACCCGCAGTCTGTTTGTGGTTCTAACGGCGATTACTTCCCCATTACTCATTGCTTGGGGAGCCAAGCGCCTCATCAAGACCCTCCCGGCCTACGTTAAATGGGCCAAAGACAACGATGAATTCGGCCTAGGGTACATGGCACTGATGTTTCTCTATATCTGGATGTTCTTCTTCGATTCAAAGGGACAAGCGTAGTCTTGTCCTTTTCCGTTGCCTTTACATTCTTCTATTTAGGGTTATTGTGTCTAGTATTGTGGTTATTCTTAATCCCAGACAGTTCTTCTCCCCATCCCCATGCGTTCTCACCGTTTGGTTTTTGCGCCTCTCAACTAACGTTTCGGAAAACGCCACAGCGAGGAAGGTGTGAAGTGGGAAAATGACAGGGCATCACCAAGAGAACGTTTCGTATCAGCTGCTGCTCTGCGTTGCGTTTGTCCCGTTGTCATCTTAAGGCGTATGGGGATCGCTCGTATGCAGAAAGAAATGGGCACTGGTGCGTGCAGCATTGCGTGCAAGTGCTTGTAAGTGACATGCAGATGCGAATATACACTGTTAGCTGCAGTGCTGTGTTCAACTGCTAGTACGTTGCGGCTGAGTGGGCGTAGTTAAAAACACACACCCGAAAGTCGCAGCTGGTTTAGATGAAGAGAAAAGCAGCTGCGAAGGAGTCGCAAGAGCGACTTCAGACCAGCAGCGATAAGCCTGCAAATGAACTCCGAGGGCTTTTTGAGGCAAAGGCACAGAAGCGACCGTGCATGAGCTGCCCCCACAGTAACTTTTGTTGCTACAGTGTTGTTTTCTGTTGAATGCAGCTTATGCTAATAGGACTGTCCGCCCGTCCTCTGGGGCGTTCCCCATTCAGAATTGTATACATTTCCTTCACGTTCGCCTTTTATAGTGTAGGGAAAGTCTTAGTCCGAACGGCCATGAGAACTTGCCTTCGATGGCTTCTTTGCATGGCTGACTTTTCACGGACAAACAGCAGTGACTGGTTATCTGTATTAGTTGTGCTGGGGCTCATTCCAGATGTACTGGTTTGAAGGTTGACCTTTCTGACTTGACTACAGCTTCCCGATATTGCAAAGTACGTTTGAGACGACCACATGGCGTCTCACCACAGCTCGAGTTTAAGGTTCAGTGGCGAAGAAATAAGGTTAACGAAGATTCTCTTCTTTGGCTGCCAGAGAAGTGCGGAGGAGGAAGGGCAACATTCGTGGCCGTACCTGGCTGGTCAACGCTAGAGGTGGGAGTGAAACGGAAACCCAGTGGCCGTGTGGTCGAGTTCTTGATAAAGAATGGCGTATGAGAACCTTGAGAACAGGGGAGATTTGAGGTAGATGTACTGGGTCGGAGGCGCGGGGAAATGCACAAAAGCAGCGGCGACAGCGTCAGGGCAAAAAGAACGGACTGCAATGCAGAGAAAGACGGGAAGATAGCTGAGCAAACGAGCACCCTAAGAGTCACGGGTGACGAGAGGCCTCACAGTGTAATCGCCGCATAGGCAGCTCGTTGCTCCAGGCCCAAGCAGGTGTAGTCAGAATGCAAAGCAATTACTGAATTCAGTATTATTACGATGTGGGGAATTCCGGGCACTAGCAACTTCGCCTTCTCGAAACTCATTTCTGAACCTCTCATGCTCGTGATGTCGATAGGATGTGCTAGGATCTGCATGTGCTGCCTAACGAAGCCGCCCGTCTCTTGCAGAGACCGACAAACCTCGGCGTTTAGCACCTTGGTGACGACGGCTTGTGTTACGAAGGTGTGTTCGGTAGTTCTTGGCAGGTAGGCGGCTGCCGTTGCAACCTTTCGGGATAATGTTGTAGCGTTCCGCTCGCCCAAAATGGGACGCACAGCCTATTCACGACCTGACTAGAAAAAAAAAAGCAGGCCTCTATTGGATCCCGTTGCAATTTGGGGAGGGTAAGCACCAAGTGCTCTCTACCGCCAGCGCTGCTGCTCAGGAGTTATATTTACACAAATTCCGTGAGCTTGCCTATCAGCAGCGTAGGATATTTCGGGTAGACCGCGGCAACTGTGGCGATAGCTACCTAAGGCACCGAGGAGGACCATGTGGTAAGGCGCAAACTTGTAAGAGCGCATCACTTCACTGATTTTTATTGACAATGAAAACATCAAACAGAGCTGCGTTATTCTCCAGAGAAAAGACGATCAGCAAGAAGGTCCTTCTACTTAAACTCGCTCCTTCATAGGTGGGGGGCGAAAAGTGGTAGGTGCCAAGATGATGACGCTCCACAGAGGAAACAGGAGGTGGAATCTTAACGGACAAGCAACAGAGCAGCCAAGTCAAGTAAAACTTCCCGCGGAAAAGAGGAGTCCAACAAGAAACGCTCACCTTCACGCCAATTCATGGGCCTGCTACGTTACAACACGTGAGCTTCTCAGCTCCTTAATTCTCTGTAGTAGCCCACCCAGCTCTACTGAAGGCCTGTACTGCAAAATGTGATGAAGACATCGTACAACCCGTACCACATTGCTGTAGATACCACTAGACACAACAGACGGAGCACATAGAAGGAACTGCAATAGGTCTTAGCGGAAAAGGGCATCCCCAAGACGATGCCAGCAGCAAATTCCCACGAACGCACTCTTAAAGAAACTGTAATAACTACCGGCAACATAAGCAGCTAGGGGACTGAGGGGCGCCGCCGCGACCTCGAAGGTTGACTCTAGCCAGAGAGCAAACTTATCGTTTGAGGGACGTAAGCCGTTCGTGATCTAATCAATAAGCAGGGTAAGCGACCTATGCTACTAGTTCTCGCCAAAATAGCCAAAGCCTCTAACTCTCCACACCAACCACCTGATAGCTTGCGCGGGCCTAAAGCAATGCGTCATTTCATCGAGGATGTTGCCTGGCGAACTGTGGCCACACAAGAAGCTCACTTTGGATACATATGCACGCTTTTGTTATCACGCTATTTTGTCGGTCTGTTCAAGTCAACGGCCACGCGCAAGGAGAGGGACCTAGCTCTTCTCTAAATGTAAGAACCGCAGCTATACAGTAAGTGGCGATTGATTGAACGGTATCCACCTTTTAGACTGCAGCATTGAACGCTGTTACCTTGGCCAATCAAACTGTTTTGGCCCAGTAGTTAAGTGCCCTTGGGTATGGTCACCCATACCCAAGGGCACTTAACTACTGAAGTACGTAATATGTCGGCATACTCCTCAAATACTGCAAGGCGATGAAAACATTGAACCTCCTAATGCTGCACTCCCGCTAGTCTCTCTACATTGTGCAACAAGATTGCACTTTCCCCACAAGTCGGATGAGCCTAGCACCAAAAGGTGTGATACGCAGCACCACAGTGTTGCGCATAAAAGCCCTCTAGAAGGATAAAATGCACTTCAAAATTCTCCATATGAGGGAACTCGGTATTTATAACAGAGCAGGCTCAGATTGCTCTGCATGTAGGCCAGCCGCTGAAGCTGACAGCTTCACTGATACTGTCAGCATCCGTCTACAAAAGCCTTTTGTCCAGAAAAAACAAGGCCTTCTGCCTTTAATGCATGTTTTTGCGTCGTTTCTGAATTGAGACAATAATGCACCTTTTGTAACGTGTATGTAAAACTATGCTGGAGCCGAGCTGGGCTTTGCAGTCTGCAACTTGAAGCTATCCCAAGGATCTCCCTTTTTCTAGTTTTATATGCTCTGGAACAGAGTGAAATAAACTTTGTGAGCTCTGACATCTGTAACATTGCGCTCAACAGAGTCCACTTGTAATGCGCGTATGCAACACGAGAGCAATGTGCGAACAAGAAGAAACGCCTTGCGGTATTTCCAGCTTACGAGTGGTCAGTTGCGCACGGCAGACGATTGTTCCTGCTACTATTGCAGCAGACCACCAAGAAAGAGCGCTCCTTCACAGAATGACCCTCTTGAGACACATGCTGCAGAACCCGCACCGCAGTTAAACTGTATGAAGGGCACCGTCCGGTTGAAGCAAGAGGTGGATCGCCTACGGGATCACGTGGTGCAAATGAATCTGACAAAACAGGCTCCAGCCACCGTGTAGCCAGTCGTACGCGAGGAAGGTAACGATGCGGGAGTCTTTTTTAGGTTAGTTGAAAAGGTAGTTACGAAACTAGGCCTGAGCCATTTCTTTTGGGGAGACATGCTACTGAGGTGTTTTTGAGATAATCTAATGCAATTGATATAGTTCGCGAGCGGACTCACTGCTGCTCATAGCTAGCTGGCTCTCATGGCGAGTTGGCTCTATCTCTTGCCTAACTGATCTGACGTAATACTAATATTGCAGTACATCATGTTGTTTCCACCGGATAGGTCAATATAGGCACACTAGCGGCTCACTGGGGAGCCATTCTAGTGCCTGTGCACTACGCTTGTAGTCTCCAGACAGTGCATTCCGGCCCGCAGCTAGCCAGCCCGGTTGGCTAGCTGGTGATTGATGAGCAATCAGAAAGCAGGACGAGACGTTTCTTACAAATAACCAATTATGGCAAATTATTAGAAATGCAGCATTTTTAAACTAGAAGCGTCTATAAATACCCTAAGATTGGGGCAGGCGCTAACGCCGGCACCGGCGCGGGGCACTGCCCTAACCGGGCCACGAAGGCAATAACTGAGGGTGCGACATTTAGAAAAATTGGATCGAGAACTTGAAAGATGACTGCTTTTATTAATGATTCGGTGCTGTTTATGGGAAATGTGTCGCATGTATATGATTTGTCAGAAGGACGCCCTATTCGTGGGCCAGGTAGTAACATAGTAGCAGCAGAGAACGCTGTACACTACAATACTTAACCTATCAGAAGGAGACGGGTGCTGATTTAACGGACTGGACAGGCTCAGGACAAGACGAGCTCCAGCTTTTTGCAATTCGAATTGCTCGGCACTTATCCGCCGAGTCGTAGCAAAGTGATCGCAGAGGGCACAACAAGTGTACTTCCCCAACACTGCGAAGATACTGGGATACCGGGTAGACCTGCGAACAGCTGAGCTAGTGGACCACTGGCTAAATGTGCCACTTCAGCTGTACAAGGCTCCAACCATAGTCTCTTCTGACGATTTCAATGACTCGAGAGACCAAGCATCAGAATCCGCAGCCCTGGAAGGCCCATAGATGGCTAAAGTACACGCATGAAAGAAGCGACGGAATGATTTGGTGATACAATGAGATGGGGACCCTACCAGAGTCGAAGGAGGCCCCAGGATG